TTCAAGTGTCAAAATTTTTTAATCTCTAAACCAATCAACTTACCACAACACGCCATTTATATGTCCATGTTAGAGAGCAAACTTATGAATTTTTAAGTGAGAGCGAACTTGTAAAATTTTAAGTGACGAAAATAAATTTTTAATAAGAATTAAAAAGTTGTTTTAAATATATAATAATTTGAAATTTTCAAGAGAAACGATTGACCTCAACATATGTCTTATAAGAACACCAAATTATTGGTTAAAATGTCTTAAAATATGTATAAAACAAGAGGGCTTATTTGATATACCGTTAAGAAAATATTTTAATTTCATAAACAATTTGAATATTATCCTGTATTTTAAATTGTAAACTTTAAATTTTTAATTTTTACCTGTAAATCTAAATTATAAATCTTAAATTATAAATTTTAATGTTTAATACCAGATGTCATCTATTCCACTCTAAATTATAAGATTAACTTTAAGAGTACGATTATGTAATGTATTCACATTACATAAAATATTACATTACTTTGTTTGATTCATTTAATAAGAATGTAAAATTATGATGTTTAGAAGAGGATATATGATTTTTTAGAAGCACATATTACTAAATTATCATTATTTTAAAACTTATTTAATTTCACATAAATTTAACTATATAATGTTTATTAGTCTTAATTGCCGTGATAGAATCACTTGCTCCAAAGATTCCTCCACCCTTACACATATGTGTGAATAATTCTAATCAAGGAAAACATAGAAGTTGTGTGGAAGAAAGAATAAAAGCTGGAATAGCGTGTGGCTGTTAAGCACAAAGTTGGAGGTTGAAGCCCTCCTTCTAGTGTTGATATGATTTGCCACTTCTAATTACCCTTATAATTCCAATATGTTACCTTAACTAACTAGTTATATAATTAATTTTTCAAATAACAGCAAATGTCTTATTAGTTTAGTTGGTTAGAGCATTGTGCTAATAATGTGAAAGGTTGTAGGTTTGAAACTTGCATGGGCTATATTTTTCACCACTTTTTTTTCTTCCAAACCCTCATCACTAACTAGTATGCTATTGTTTCTCCTGATCAGGGAGGCCAATCCTCCCATTGGATCAATCTGGTGGGTGGAATAAATAAGTTATATAGGACTGAAGATCATTTGATCAGAACAAATGGTCGTCTAATCAGAACCGGGAGTAATGAAGTTAACGAAAGTACCAAATCAACGACATTGGTACTTTCTGTTGCAGGAGGATAATCCCTCTTTTGGTAATTTTTGTTTGATTTATTTATATTTCTGACTATGGATTCAATTTTTTTACACAAGGTTTCATAATCTTAATGTTGTCTGATCTTACATCAGTATATCTGACTCATTATTTGAGTTTACTGAAACTTCCTGAAAGAACTATGTTGAATTTTGTCCAATGGTTCATTTCCATTTCCACATTTGACATAAAAATAGTTTAGCTGTTTATGGTACAGAAGTTCTGTATCCAACAAAATCTTCGTTTTGTTGCAAAGAAATAGTTAGGATGTTGGCAAATGAACACATGAAACGTGTTGTCATTGTCGATAAATCGAATGTTATTTGAGGTGATGGAGATGTGCCCCATGAAGGAATAGGGCGTGCAAGGAGAATGCAAGTTTCAAATGTAAATTTGCAGCATAATGCGAGTATTGATGTGTCCTTTTCTCATTACAAAACATCAATAATTTGTTTCAAGTCTAATTGGTCTAGGCTCAATTACCTTGCAGATTCCAACGAGGTGTTCAGCTGGTTGGAACAGCCCATGGAATGACTATTGACAAAGTAATAAAGAACCCTTCTCTACAGATCCTTGTTGGTGGCATCAAGGTGCGAAGCAACTTCTTTTTTATTTTCATATCTGCTCATATGGCTTTCAATGTACTCAAAGTGGGTTATTCCATATGGATATACCACTTGCTTTCATGTTGTTAGGAAACTTATGGAACAAGTAAAAATGTTTTGAGTACATTAGTTTAGATGGGTAAATTTTGCCAATCTATGAAGTTATTATCATGTCGAAACAAATCATATCTGCTCAAATGTCATCGAACTAACTGCAATATACACTTAATGAAGTTATTGTTAATCGACATCTTCCTTTGCATTCTTGTAGTAGGTCTGTCTAAGGATTGTGTATATAGTTATTCCCGGTGATGAACCCGTTGAGCCTCTTCCAAGACGTTCCGAAATAATTGCCCGTCAACTTAAGCTTGTCAAAAGTTATCGGTTGGATGCAGAAAACTCAGGTACTGAGCTTAACCCAAGGTTGCAAATTCTTCCTCATAGATTGAACAGAAAGCTTTCACTGAAATCCCTCAAAACTACATCGAATTTATGAAATGAGACTGAATCGAAGCCACTAATTGATATGGAGGAACAAGTGTTACAAGGCTTCCCTTGCTGCCTGAATAAGACATGATTTCAATCATATGAATCATTGATTGATACAAAGCTTCAATTCTTGTACCATTTGTATGTAGGTTATGTATCTCATCAAAGATCGCCAATATGAAACAACACAGCTTGAAGGGAGGAGATTTTGTTGGCACCAACCTCAGCGTTAGCTTTTTCTTTGAGTTTTACAATGTTTGTTTGACTTCGAGAGTTGATCGAGGAAATACGAATGGAAATATCCTTACCATCGGGAAACCAACGTTGAAAAACAGAGAGCTTCGATAAGCTTATCTAACTCTTGGAAATTTTCGACCATAAGTTCAAGAAATGCCAAAAATGATGTCTCATCTGCCACAGCATGATTGATGGTGCAACCAATGAATATACAGTCGGCAAGATCGGTAACTTGAACTCCAAGTAAAGGGTTCCTAGTAGCCTCATAGTTCTGGAGCCCGTTCAAAGGGAAGAACGAGTGAACGATACAATGTGGGAAACTGTTACTCCATCGGTTGCTGCATGTACGAACAGAGCTCTGACATTGTTGCATTCAATAAAAAAGGAAATTGTGTCATCTTCGTGCTCGGTAGTTGCTAGTCGACCAGCAAAGGCTTGGGAAAAAGAAAACCCTTCTGAATATGCCCGACCAGAAGGAACCGAAGATCCAATGGAGTTAGCTCAATCCTGTCACCCAATGCACCGTGATTTGCTGCCTGGACTATACTGTTGGATATGAATAGCACGTCGACCATGTTTTCGACTTTGCCTATCAACAAGCAGCCGAGTAATTAAATTACCAAGACCAGAATGACCATCCAACACCCCCATATGCGTAGAGATAGTGATATATCAAATATCTATTTTTCTTGACAAAGTACAAGTCTATTTGATGTATGGATGACTTCGAACACCTAAAAAATAGGCAATACATCCAATATCTTTTAATGAAAACCGAGAATCCAAAGACTTAATAATTTCTTGAATCGAAGAAGAATATGTCATTATTATAATATTATCAGCCACGCATACTAAAATATAGATAGGCTGATCTTCATGATTATAGATAAATAGATATGAGTCGGAGTTAGATGTATGAAAATTAATTTAAATGAGAGTTCTCCATAACTCATCAAGTGGTCTCGGTTAGGGGTGTGCAATTTCGGGCCTGAATAAAATCATCTAAAGGCCCAATTTATTTTCAAATTTTTTGATAATCCAAAACTGAAATTTCACTTATCCGTATCTGATTTCGATTATCCGATTTTTCCTCGGATATCCGATCTGAATTATCCGAAAATAAAAAAAAAATCTAATCTCTGAATTTTCGGATCGGATCAGATTTTTTGCACACCCCTAATCTCGGTGGTTAAAGAGAATGTTGTGTGCGTTATCAATGACTAAGAAAGATTATGAGCATATACTACAAAAAAAATCATTCATCTTAGAGTATCAAACACGTGGTATTTGTTTAAAACCATAAATAACCTTATTAGTTTTACACACATATGTAAAGTAGTCAGGATGTTCATACCATAGGGAGAAATACTCGTAAATAATAATAATAAAATAATGATATTAGTAAAAAAAAAATATGGACGAAATTCAATCTCTATTTCATGAACATACTGAGAAAATTGGAAATTTTGTTTGATGTATTTTCTTTTTGAACAATTTTTATTTATTGAGAATTTCCTAACTACATATTCTAAAGATGATTGACTTGCTTGATGCTTTTAAAAGATCTGAACTAGTAGAAATAATGACAATTTTGTAATCGATGTAATCATCATCTTAGAGTGTAATGTTACTACTTAATAAAAAAATCATTTAATATAAGGTTAAAGATTTAGTGGAATGTTTAGGACAGTTGTTTAGTCTGTTTGGGATATGTGATTGAATTCGCTTAACAACAATTATATTTATGTTGAGAATGAAGAACAGGTGTCGAGTTATATCTCTTTCTTATTTTAATTTTTATGATGGTTTTTTTTATTAAAATAGATGTATAATATTTCATTTCATTATTATTTTGAGATCCAATTCTTGAGGTCCGTAAAAAGAATTGTCATCCAATAATTGTACGATACATGACATGGTTTTTAATTTTCTAGAAAAAACCCTCTTAAAATTACTAAGTTCCAAAAAAATAATACTAAAATCTCCAAATCAACATTGGTTCATGTCGTCAACGAGCCTACACCTTCAAACCAACCACCATTGTTCTCTCCTTGTGCCCTTGGACCTTCACTAGTTAATTGAGTCTCTTGCTATTACACGAAATCCCTAAACCCCCTCAAACCCTATTCCGTAATTCACTCAGTTGTTGCTATCGACGAACCTACTGAATCAATGAACCATGTTGCCTGAATCTTTAACCGTTCGAAGAGGCTTGAGATTTAAAGATTTAGTGTGATGATCGATCAACATGGATTTGACGAGTGAAGGAATAGGCCGTGATATGGCGTCTACTCAACATGTGGGATATGCCTATTTGATGGAAGCACACTGCGGAAAATAAGGCTACAAGAAATGCAAGCATATGAGTCCTGAATCGTGCAATTATTAGCATCCTCCAACAAGTTTTTGCTCTGAAGTGGCATATGGAGCTCTTGAACGTAGCCAAATTTCCCAGCAATCCATGGTTTATATCTCTGATTCTCCTTGTCTCCCTTCTAATTTGGCTTAAACTAGCAAAAAGAAAACGCTTAAATTTGCCTCCATCACCTCCAAAGCTACCAATCATCGGCAACATCCATCAACTTCCCCACCGTTCCCTCCGAGACCTCTCGAAAAAATATGGCCGTATCTTTCTTCTTCAGTTGGGGTATAACCCAACTTTAGTGGCCTCATCAGCCGACTTGGTTAGAGAAATTGTCAAAAACTATGACCTTGTTTTCTCCGACAGACCAAGAACCAAAGCTGCAGATATCTTGCATTATGGATGCAGGGACCTGGCTTTTGCACCCTACGGCGAGTACTGGAGACAAGTTCGGAAGATGAGTGTTGCTGAGCTTTTAGGCCATAAAAGAGTCCACTCATTTCAGTTCGTCAGAGACGAAGAAGTTGAACTCCTTATCAACAAAATCCGCCATGCTTGTCTGAAAGGAGAGTCCATTAATCTCTCGGAGATGCTCATGTTGGTTTCCAGCAACATCATTTCTCGATGTGTCATTAGTCGAAAAACTGAAGAAGAAGAAGATGGAAGCAGTAAGTTTGGAGAGTTGGCAAAAAAGGTTGTGGTTCTTTTCACTAGTTTCTGTGTTGGGGATATGTTTCCTTACTTGAGGTGGCTCGATCTGCTCACTGGATGTATCCCAAGTTTGAAAGCATTATTTGGACAATTAGATTCATTTTTTGATCAGATTATTGAGGAACATAGGACACCCAAAAGTGAGAACCAAGTTTCCAGTAAAAAGGACTTCATTTCCATCATCATGCAGCTCCAGAAGGATGGCATGCTCGAGATGGATCTCACACAAGACGACATCAAAGCAATCTTGCTGGTTAGTCATTCAACACTTTCCCTTCCTTTTCTTCCTCTTTCATTTTTGCGTGTTGATCTGTGTTACTAAATAGTTTAAAAGAAATAAAACGATTTACTGTACATTATTCACAATCTGAAGTGTATATATAATTTCAGGACATGTTTGTAGCAGGAACTGGTACCACCGGAGCTGCAACAGATTGGATGATGGCTGAGATTTTAAAGCATCCAAATGTCATGAAAAAGGTCCAAGAAGAGGTAAGAAATGTGGTGGGAAACAAATCTAAGGTGGAAATAGACGATGTGAATAAAATGGAATACTTAAAATGTGTGGTCAAAGAAACTTTAAGACTACATCCCGTTGTTTCTCTTATTGTTCCTCGAAAAATATCTGCAAGTGTTGAATTGGGAGGCTACCGCATTCCATCGGGTACCACGGTTCTGATCAATGCATGGGCCATTCAGAGAGACCCCAAATGGTGGGAACAGCCAGAAGAATTCATCCCGGAGAGGTTCGATTATAGCTGTGTTGATTTCAAAGGTCAATGTTTCCACTTCATCCCGTGTGGTTTTGGGAGAAGGAGCTGCCCCGGGATGGCGTCCGGGGTGATGCAGGGGATCCGAGACAGATGATGCTGAGTTGTCAGATTGCACCTTGATGGCGCTGAGATACCATGAATTGACAGATCAGCGCAAAGGCGGGAATTAATTGTGACATGTTCCTCATTGGGGTCGTTTTGAGTATGTTTCAGTCTTTTGGCCATAACTTTGGCTACAGGTGTCAGAATCGCGCATAAGACCCCAATCCAGAAAGTTCTTTTCGACGCGCACACTCTCTACATGAGCTATGCTCGATGTGGCCTTTTTTTAACTTCAAATTCTTCCGTTTTCCCCTCCAAATCACTAGATTTAGATATTTTTTACTATTTATGGTAATATTTCGATTGTCAATTAGGAAGTCAATTTAAATCCGATTTAGGCCGGATTTTTTGGAGATTGCTTATTTTATTTCGAATTTCAATTTAGAGTGATTTTCGGGATTTTGCTATTTTTGGCAAAATTCGAATAAAAACGATTTTTGGCTATAATAGTCCGGCTTGTGGACTGATTTTAGGTTGTTTTGAATTTATAATATTTTATTAAACTCTAGAGACTTTTTTTCTCTAATTTTTTTGAGGAAATTTTCTCTTGTGAATTATCTGTTGGAGCGCTTGCAGGATAATCACTATTCTGTCTGGCGTCAGAGTTGCTTTTATCGATTATGTGATGGCTAACCTTATGTATTGGTTCGATTGGAAGTTGGTCGCTGGTCAAACTGCCGAGAACTTAGACATGACTGAACTCTATGGCTTCACTGTTAACAAGAAAATCCCTCTTCATGTAATACCTACGTCTTGTTTTTCTTTTTAGTTATTATAGTATGATTATTTGTCTGTTATTATGGTACGATTTTATTTATTATTATAATAGTTTCATGTTTCATGTTTCATGTTGTATCCATTACGGAATAGGAAAGGTCAACAGTCTCATAAAATTAAATCTTCTTTTATAGCAGTTTGTCGATGTATACATAACCGTTTGCATAGTAACATATTATATTAGTTCTCTCAATCTCATGCCTACATCATATCATGTCTAGATTTTTTTTTAAGTGAAACATATATTTTAGAAAAAGTTTTGATTTTATTTTTCTTTTACTCCTTTAAGGTTTATAAGTTAAGATTGTGTTGCCTTTGTTTACCTATTTAACAAAAACTTAATTTGTTTTTTTAATATAAATAATTCATAGCAACATGAATTACACATGAACTATCACACAAAGTCAACACCATCAACATTTTAATGTTTTTGTCTGCATCTTCATTAAAAATTTGTTTTTTTTATTTTACTTTAAAAGTTTTTTATTTTACTAAAATAAAGACTTAATAAATAAAAGACAGAAAGATTAAGAGTTCATTTTATTATTACTCATTTTTCTAAAAAAAAAGTTACAAGAATATGCGCGGTAATAATTGCAATTATAGAAATTCAACCATCAACCATTACAACATAAATCAAGTGATCTCGGTAGTTAAGAGTTTTATTGTTATCCTTTGAGATCTCGGGTTTGAACACCCTGTATATAGGAATGTGAGCATTCATTGTCAAATGATTGAAAATCTTTAAACATATACCACATCATATTTATTCCAGATTTATTATTAAAAAATTAACTACTATAGAGTAAATGTAATAATAATAAAAACAATATATTTAGATTTAAATTAAAATTAAAATAAATTTTACAAAAATAATTTAATAAAGTTACACATGATTTATATTAAATAAATTTTTAAAACCTAAACCTTGCTAAATGCTCGTAAATGAGGGAAGGTTTTGAGTGGGTGGGATATAGATTGCATGTGTGGTTCAGGATTTGGTGGGTTGCCTAATAAGTACGGTTTTGCTATGAGGAAGGATGTACATACATTTGCATTGCATTGCACCAAAACGTCCCTTTCATTCAACAATTATTTCTGATCTATCACATCCGGCTACCGAAAATAAAGCAACAAGAACAACTTAGCAAGAAAGAAGAAAGAATTCCACAAGAACAACTTAGCTTTCAACAAGAAAGAATAAAGAATTTAACTTCGATTGGAACTTTTGACACAATAATGTTGGATTAGGATTTTTTTTTTCTTCATACGGTCCCTTTTATACCTTATAATGGTTTTCTAGTTTTTGGGATGCTTTCTAACCGTAGTTTAGCATTAAAGGCTCACATGTGACTTCAATTTCAAAACTGAGCAATCTTGATTTAAAAAAATATTTATCTTCACAAGTATATACTAAACGAAATCTTTTCCTTACCATTCAAGTTTTTTAAAGAGATTCGAACGTTAACCATTTAAATTTTAGCAAATTCAAATTTGTACATATTTAAATCATTTAAAAGAATTATTTTTATTAATTTAAACATAAAAAATATTTAATTCAGCCTTAAATTTGATAATAATACTCAATAATTTACTAGTAACATCCAAATTCAGATTTTAAAGGGATTTATGAATTCAAACCTAAACTATTAAAAAATGGCAGATATCTGACTCAGTGTCATTCCTACCACATATTACAAAAAACATGGATAGTTTCACAATATACTTTTAAAGATTCAGTTTATTTCATCATGGCTTAACTGTATACGACAAGGCATTCCGCGACAACCGTAACAAGTCTCGGCAACATTAACTTCAAAGTTCGATTCTAATCTTCAAGTTCAATGATCTTTACCACTGATGCATCCCCAAGCTTCTGGCAAACAACGACGCGGTCATGCGGCTTTATAACACCTGCGGCCTTTCCATGATCTAAAGCAACCTTCAAGACCGATTCGTTTGTGCCACTTTTCGACTCCGCCTGCAAAACTCAAGTACAGTAGAAAAAGCGTTACATCGAACTATTATGCTAATGGATGACACAAGCATCGGTATATCACAATAGTGATATAATGGAGGACCAGATTCGGAACTAGTAAAACACAGGCATAAAATAAACCTTACCGGATGTCGAGGGTCAGCTAACATGGGGAATAGGCCTCTAACAATCAGGGATTGCCTTGCCTGCAAGGATTCAAGAAAAGAAAAGCTTGACAGAGACTAATTTTGAGCTTTCAACCGAATAAACAGCTATACTAAAATGAGGGATTATTCACTGCAAATAATCTACTAATCGAAAAGGAAGACGATAAAGATAACAGACTATTAGAACTTCATTTAAAGAAACTATGCCTTCCATACAATAACTGTTTTCGGATTGTTCATCATGTTTTTATTTCTCTGGAATATTCGTTCCAAATGTAATTCAAGTTTCTCGCATCTGTGAAACAGACTCATTCACATAGGGAACATGAAAAATATCACCAGTAGCATACCTCAAAAGCACCAGAGAAAGTCCAGCGCAGTTGATTTGTCTTTAGCCGAGGGATGACAACAGATATCACAGGCATTGATGGCCTGTACTTTGCAATCAACCTGCATTAGTACAAAAGCGTTTTACGTTACAACTAGCTATCGGTCGGCAAAGAAAGAAGTATAAGCATAATGTATGCATGCCATGCAGGAACATCAAATATGCAACTACATTGATATTGGTTTTTCGTCACACACAGAAAGAAGTGGACACAAAATAATAAATGTAACCTTGCAGCCCTCCCGGATGAAGTGAAGCAAATAATTGCAGAGGCTTTGACCTTGATAGCTGCACGTACCTGTGGCACATTAAATTCACTTATACATAAGGACTTGGAAATTTGACTTCCAGACACTTCAGTTGCATAATTATAAGGTAATACCATAATTCTGTAAATCTATTCCAAATGTATTGACCCTAAACTAGCATACCAAAATTATAAAGAATCCTATATAAGGCACAAGTGTGGAATAATTTACACCTTCCAAATCTGTATTCGGTTGGATTTCTAACCATATTCTTATCATATAACGAACTCAAATCAATTAGATGGCAAAAGATAGGATAGAGATTCCTTTAATGAATCTGCCTGTCTCGGAGGTAACTATTTTCCTTTCATAATACCTTGTTTTGACTGTATCGCACGGAAACAAAGAAGAGAAACAATTTAAAGAAGGAAGCATCAAATTAAATACCGCAGAAGAAGCAATGGATTCCAGGTGAGACATTGGTTCGCCAACATGTTTGACAGTTTTCTTAAAGTAAACATCTTGATTGAAAACTTTTTCTGCCTGCAGAAGGTAATTAATTGGAAGTACGCCAGGTCAAGAATTTAAAATAATGTACTAAAAAGGTTACAGGAAGTACTAATATTGGTAGAAAAAATAAACTATATAATATGAATGAGAAATTATAACACAAATCTGACAAGTTGAAATAAAACATTGGCTGTTTTCCTCTCTTCTTTTTGCTCAATAACTTTAAGCACATATAGAGGCCATGTCCGGTACAATCATCAGCCTTACTCTCATAGAAATGAAAATTCAAACCCTTGTATATGCCGAAGAGAAACCAATAAACTGAGATTGGTTAATAGATTGAACAACTCATGTATAAGAAGGAAATTACAACAGAAAATGTGGTTCCACAAAACTTTTTAGGATAGTATTAACAAACAGGCTTCCTGATCAAGGGTAAACTGAAGTACCGAACTCACCTCTGCACAAATTTTTCCAACTGTAGAGACAGTTTCAACAGGGTATAGTCCACGCAAGGTTTCTGCCCCTAGAAGTATTGCATCACTCCCTAACCAAAAAGCAGACAGAAAAATAAAATTCCAATAGATTGAATCCATATCGGAAGTCATTTATTAAGCAGGGTATTAGTCGCAACATAATTAAGAGATTCCATCAAACTTGACACAAAGGAACAGAAAGGAGAAAAAAAAGCATAATAGTATAAGTGAACGGGAATTGACCATCCAACACAGCATTGGCGACATCAGTTGCTTCAGCACGAGTAGGTCTTAGGTTGTCTGTCATACTGTCCACGACACGAGTGACCACTACAGGCTTTCCCATCATGTTGCACTTGTAAACAGCAGCTTTTTGAAATAGAAACACCTGTAAATTCCAAATGGAAGAACAATAACAGAAATTAGTTAGAGGAGCTGGTCTGGTCCC